TTCTCCATCAGCTTCTGGCGATGAAGATGGCATCAGTGGTGGACCTTTCGGGCATGAAGCCGAACTGTTCCTGCGAGATAGGGACAAGTTCCCTCAGCCTAGTGTTGACCAGGCGCTCGTACAGCTTCATGGTATGGGTGAGTCAACTTGATGCCGCGGTAGTTGAAGCACTCCTGTCGCGTCCCCTTTGTTGTTCGTAGGATGGGGCAACCGGCATCCTTCTTCAGCCGTTACGTTGTTTAGGGAAGTGCCAACACACTAGCGTAAATATAACGAATAACTACTCGAGAAATGCAGTGGTAATACCAACAGCGATAGAAACGCAATACACAGCTGTAATCAGGCCAATTTATACTCAACGAATAAGTAAATATGAAAATAGAACTTGCCGAAGTAGCTTAAAGCTAAAACAGCAGGTACGTCCCTTGTCTACTGGAAAGAACCATCCATGCCTGCGCTCCTACGGGCCACAAGGCGATAGCCCATTAGTGGCATCGAAAGCATTCTGCACTCCTGCTGTCCAGGGTGTTTGGATGTACCTCCGCTCCTAGTGGTTACCTGCGACTCTCAGCGAGCCCTACGTTAGTCCAGCTCCCTCCTTTGTAGTCGTTGGACGTAGACGGCAGCTGCATGATGCACGTTGACTTTAACATGACACGACGAAGAGCGGCGGAGCAATCTGTTGGGACGGTAGCATGGCGAAAAACTGAAGAGTGCTAGAGTAGTCGCCTTCATCTTTAACGGCGCCTTGAATCTTCCATCCGTTAAGCGCTCCACGACCGCTGCGGCTGCCGAGAAGGCGACCAAAGAGTCGTTTGGGAAGTTACTGCGCTCGCAGCCAAACTTGCGGGCACGCCTTCTCCGGGAATCGGGGTGCCCATTCGCGGTCAGTTGATTCGACTTCTGACTGAAATAATGTCTGACCCGCTTGACAAGGACATCGCCGTGACATACGTGGGCTGAAGCGAGAGGTCTCTTCACGGTCATTGTCTACTTAGTATGAGTCTCAGAATTTTAAGATCAATGCTCAGCGTATTGGACCGCTATTCCAAGGTGAATATCTAGCAAGTGAAGGACCAACGATGAGCAGTGTGTTTGATTTTTGGTGTATGGTTTGGCAGGTGAGGTGTTTTGCGGTGGATCTGCAAGGCTTCTTTGCTATACGGACGCTATTCAGGAAAAGGTCGAGAGGATTTTATCGGTGAACTTTCCACATGAAGAACGCCTATATCCAGCGATATATGATCCTTCCAAAGAAACGATTCAATATTGGCCGATAGAGATTGGAAAAACTGTTGCATACATGCCATTTAAAATCACATGTATCGATACAAGGATGATGGTAGGGTGTTATCAGTTCACGGTCCCATACTGAGAAAACAGAACGTGCCCATAAAATGTGGGAACAAGGACTCACAATGTTCAATGTGGGAATAAGGACTCACACAGAAGTGGAGAGAGCGGTAGTTGGAGGGGTTACGTCTCGACCATCACTATGCACCGTCATCTCTGAGCATAAGAATAAGTTACGCTATATCGACGAAATGAAGCGGACGAGCAACTTGAAGTGGCATAGCCCCCACCCCAACTACCCTTGAACCCGGATCTGCCATACCAGCAAATGCAGACCAAGAGTGTGCAATCGTTATGGCGCGGTCTGTGACAGCTGTTCTTTCAGATATCTCCTGGTATCCGAGCTGTAAAGCCCAATGATATGGTTTATCGGGTGACACAGTTACGGATTTCGTACTCCAATCCTATCGGAGATCCCGAGCCGGACAGGGAAATCGTACACATGTGCTACTATCGGTTGGTGCTTCAGTCACTCTCGACGGAACTCCCGCCAGTAACAACAACTACATGTGACATACACGGACTTATTCAGGTGGCCTGATGGATGTTTGCCAATACCATGGCCGGTGACTACAGCATCGTATGCGGCCACGGCGCTGCGAATTATCGATATCGTAGAAAGGGTCAGTTTTATTGCCGATGATTTAAAGTGTGGGCCGACGTACACTTCCACCCCCTTTGCCTCACCAACCAGCCAGAGGGCGAACGCCCCGCCTACTTTGTGCTAATTTTTTTGTGAAGTTTTGTAAAAGTCTCGAGTTGTCATATCGAACAGTTCACTAGGGAGCGTTTCCTATTGGCGACCTGGTTCTGATTACACTATCGGGGCGGAGGCAGCGATCCTTTGGGGGAAGGGGGGTGGGGGTGGTGTTCTTGGAAGATTCTAACTTCTCACCCATCATGACCCTTGGCAGACTTGCCGGTGGGCTCGCCTCACCTAACTGGTTTCCCGCTGAGTACTCACCCTACTATGGGAGTGGGGGGACAAAAGAATCGTAGTTCACCGCGCTGGTGGGCGTCGCGTGCGACGTCGCGCCCGCAAACGACAATGGTTCAGGTA